CAGGGATTGTTAAGCCTTTTGGTTGTGACTTGTTTTGTAAGCATAGGACAGTGGGTATTATAAAGGCTAAGAGTTTTTTGAAGAAAAGATTGAACTGCTAGGTTGATGTCCTCTATGTTACCTAACTCGGACTCCCAGTTGACATTATCAGTAGCAGTTATAAAATTGTCTATAGCAGTTTCATTGTGTAGTCTAAAACGTATCTCTCTTGACTCAAGAGGTGGTTTGCTAATGTTAGTTAAGAGAAATGTGGGGTAATGGTCTGTAGTGCTATCGGTGATTATACCTGAAGTAAGCGGAGAGGTTATGTTTGTCCAGATGTGATCTAGAGTCGTGGCAGTGCTATTAGTGATTCTAGTAGGTCTAGTGATTAAGGGTATGAGGAAGCAGGAATTCATACAATTGAGGAAGCTAACAGCAGTAGGGTGTTCTGGCTCGCAGAGGTCAATATTAAAGTCCCCTGCGATAATTAGGTGGTTTTTGTTCAGTCTGTTATCAAGTATTAGATTTCTAAGGTTTGAGTTGAATTCAGACACATCAGTGTTAGGAATTCTATAAACTGCACCCACAGACAGGATAGACTCGGCACCCTTGACTCTGAAGCTGGCGAAGATATACTCCCCATAGCAGTCTCTAGTTCTAATTTCTTTTAAGCATGTTAGTTCTTGGTGGTAGTAAAGAGCAGTGCCACCACCTCTCTGAAGTTGACGACAGTTGTGAATTGCTGAGTAGTTAGGCATGTTAAAGAGTTGAGTAGTATCCTCTTTCAACCATGTTTCAGTAAGTATAATAAAAGAGAATTTGTTGTCAATAGCTTCAATCAAGGCACTAACATCATCGAAGTGTTTACCTAGAGATCTAACGTTCAAATTGATTACAGAGATATTGTGATTATGAGTTAATACATTGTTTACATCATGTGCTGCAAAATATCTGCAATTTAGATCATTAAAGTGATTATTGTCATAGATAGTGGATAAGAGGTTAAGTTCTGGGTCTATACTTGACTGCATAAAAAAAGCTGATTGCAGGAAAAACAAGAAAAAAAAATGTACACAATACTGTACAAAACAAACACAAAAGGGGCTTACAGGGGTTCAATGGAGTAAGGGAGTATGGCTGGGCTAGGAAACCTAGGTAATAAATGAGATTAACGAAAAAACATATAAACATGGACTATACAAAACACAAGATATAGATATACAAAACAAAAATATAAACAACACTAAGCAATACAAAAACAAATTGAGCAAAAATGAAAAATGAGGTAGATTGCTTACAGGTACTCTCAGGTACACTGTAAGTAACAATAGACAGATAATATATATCAATATTGATAAGAATGTCACGATATAATAAGATAAGCAATTACAGGAACAGATGAAAAACAAATCTGCTGTAAAATAGAAAGTAATTATAGCAAAACACAACAATATAATAATATAACAATACAATAAGAGCTTACAAAGTATTGAGTCTGCTAAATTAGAGAATAATTATGGCAAGACACAACAATAAATGCAAGTAAACAAAAGAATTGAAACAAATAGAGGTAGAATTAAGGTCACTAGATAGCCATGGAGGATACACAAGTTTGGTGGAGAGAACAAAAAATCAGTAGAGACTGTCAAGATGAGTATATAAAAAAATTTGACAAGTGATAATTGTAAAGTAAAATAATCTTAAAGATAATAAATTTTAATAAGCTTAGTTTTAACTTATAATTAGTATGTACTTAATTAAAAGAACAAAAATGAGATGAGAAATGAGAATGGAAGCAAGTCGACAAAGAACTCTGTAGGGTAAGGCAGGTCCTAGTCAACAACGGCTTCTCCAATGGTTTCGTGGAAGACATCATAAGAAGGAAAGTGAAACGCCATGCAACCTCTGAAGAGACAACTAACACAACACCTATACCCCCTATTAGACTATTTTACAGGAACTTCTTTTCCACAGCCCATAAAACGGAGGAAAGGGTCCTGAAAGATATTGTCAGTAGAAACGTTATCCCTACAGACAAAAATCAGAAAATACAACTGACAATTTACTATAAAACCAAAAAAACGGCCAGCCTACTCATGGGAAACTCTCCAGACACAAAGCAGAACGTTTTAAAAGAGACCAACGTCGTCTATGCCTTCAAATGCCCTCTTGGGGATTGTAAACCTCAAAAAACTCAGTATATAGGCAAGACAACAACATCTCTTTCCAGGCGTTTAATGATGCATAAGCAACAGGGCTCCATTAAGGAACATATAGCCTCTTCCCACAACCAAACCATCACCAGAGAAATCTTAGCAAACAACACAGAAATCATCGATAGATACAGCGATAGCAGGCGGCTCGATGTCTGCAAGGCACTACACATCAAGAAGTCAACACCAGCAATCAACAGCCAATTAATGCACAACTATATTCTACCCACTTCAAGACTCCGCTCCAATATAGAAGCATCAAGAAATATGGGCCAATAAAAATAGGCCTTCTGCAGTTACCTACTTTTAATACCTGTTTGTATTTCATTGTTTCGTGTTCTGTCTTGTGTTAAAAGTTTATTTTCACCTCATCCAAAACTATTGTAACATGTCACTTCACCCAAATGTAGGTATAAAAACTCAAAAGATGTTTAAGGGGGCGTCTGGTTATTATAATGAAAGTTGTTCAATGTCAACCAATATTATTTTTCTAGTTGTATATGAAAAGTGCTTAAATTGTCCCAAGTTTCAGTACTGCAGCGTAAATAGAAAGGGAGTTTTTTTTTTTTTTTTTTTTTTTTTTTTTTTTTTTTTTTTTTTTTTTTTTTGAACGTTTTTTACACATTTTCAAGTCCACACTTCAGAACACACGTTTCAGATAAAATTATTCTGTGACACTTTTCTGATACATTAGCATATAATAAAGGACCTTGAGATATAGAATTTCCAAAACATCTTTAGTTTTCCTAATACAAATGTTCAAAGTTCCCAAATTTTTTTTTGCAAATATGGCATGTTTATTGCTATTATAAAATCAATAAATGAACTTAGAGAAAAATGAAAGCCCCCCAATGTAGAGACATGCCCTCCACATATACTGTGTAAGTTTCATGTAAATTGAATAAAAAAAGAATGAGTTTTGTAAACGTTTGTGTCAATTGAAAAAAAAACAGAAATGAATAAAGTCTAAGGTTCTAAAATCTGTGGCTGAGGTTGACATCAACCAATTTTCTCCAAAATTGGCATCCTTACAGATAGGCTTACGTACAGTCAGGTGTGTAAGTTTAATGCAAATCGCCCCAAAAAAATGAAAAAAAAAAAAATATTTAAAAAGAAAAAAAATCCTTTTTTTTTTTTTTCCTTAAAATTTTTTTCAAATTAAACTAATATTAATATTTGTTTAATATATGCTATTGTGATAGCAAAGAGTTGTAGTTATGATTTCAGTTGACACTTTTGATTGATAATCGATTTTGACCATTTTGGCATAATTTTCACAACTACTTCAATATTTTTTTTCTCCCTTCCTATTTATGCTACAATGCTGAAACTTGGACCAGATGAAACACTTTTCATATAGAACTTGTCAAAAAAGTTTGATTGAAATCGAATGAGTTTTCATTTTTGCATTTTTGGACCTAGATGCCAACCAGATGCCCCCTTAAGCTCTATTCAGTTAAAGTTGTGTGGTTTTGTGTAAACTAAAGTCTTTGAAAATGTAATAAGTTTTACGAAACGCGCTCAAGTGTCGCGTCAGACTAGAAATAAAAATGAATTTTGGAGAATTGATCTTTGAATTACCATCAATAGTGAAAAGAAACGTAAGAAAGATCGAGAAAATTCGTGTTAGAATTATTAATCTTACTCTTTCGGTCATATTTAATAATATATGTCTACAGGAAAGACTGCTACCAAAATATACTAATATATATATATATATATATATGTCGTACCTAGTAGCCAGAACGCACTTCTCAGCCTACTATGCAAGGCCCGATTTGCCTAATAAGCCAAGTTTTCCTGAATTAATATATTTTCTCTAATTTTTTTCTTATGAAATGATAAAGCTACCCATTTCATAATGCATGAGGTCAATTTTTTTTTTATTGGAGTTAAAATTAACGTAGATATATGACCGAACCTAACCAACCCTACCTAACCTAACCTATCTTTATAGGTTAGGTTAGGTTAGGTAGCCGAAAAAGTTAGGTAGGTTAGGTAATCAAAAAAACATTAATTCATGAAAACTTGGCTTATTAGGCAAATTGGGCCTTGCATAGTAGGCTGAGAAGTGCGTTCTGGCTACTAGGTACGACACACACACATATATATATATATATATATATATATATGTCGTACCTAGTAGCCAGAACGCACTTCTCAGCCTACTATACAAGGCCCGATTTGCCTAATAAGCCAAGTTTTCATGAATTATTTGTTTTTCGACTACCTAACCTACCTAACCTTACCTAACCTAACTTTTTCGGCTACCTAACTTAACCTAACCTATAAAGATAGGTTAGGTTAGGTTAGGTAGGGTTGGTTAGGTTCGGTCATATATCTACGTTAATTTTAACTCCAATAAAAAAAAATTGACCTCATATAGAATGAAATGGGTAGATTTATCATTTCATAAGAAAAAAATTAGAGAAAATATATTACTTCAGGAAAACTTGGCTTATTAGGCAAATCGGGCCATGCATAGTAGGCTGAGAAGTGCGTTCTGGCTACTAGGTACGACATATATATATATATATATATATATATATATATATATATATATATATATATATATATATATATATATATATATATATATATATATATATATATATATATATATAATTTATTTTATTTCATTATTTATTTTTATATTTAGTTATAGTTATTTTCTTATCTAATAGTAACACCCAACATGTGCTTATAACTTTTCTGCATGTTATTGATAAAATTTGTGTACTTTATTGAGATTATTTTTATATTTTAATATTTTCCAGTTAATAACTTATTGAATCTGTTACATAGGTTTTCGCTCAAGGTGTTGAAAACTTCACGATATCCTTGACACATGAAGAGGATGTCCCATACCTGGGTAGATGCAATACCATAAACAACATCAGTCGCTGGATTCCATATTCTTTACCTGTAACTACTACATTCCTTGCAACTCCTTCCTATGTAGACTGTCAAGGAATTATTTATCTTCAGCCTACTGCAAGTGAGTTTACTTTCTAATATAATTTTAAATGTAAAGCAGTGTCATATGACACTGGTGTCACAACACCCATTTAGTACGATCAAAGAAAATTTCTTGTGGTTATTTTACTAGGAAATACTCTTCAAGTGCACTAAATCTTGCTTGACAGTAACTGTATGTAATTAATCAATAGTTTGTTTTTTAAGAAAAAACAAGTGATGAATTTAATGAAATGCCAATTTCTTGGTGGTGAGCCCTGGAGGCTCCCTAAAGCTATCACACATATTGTGCCATACTAAAAGTCATCAGTCGCAGAGTTATATTGGCCTTCCAGAGATCACGAGCCAAAACCTGTTCCTCTCAGAAAGGCACAGGGAGTGATGGCCTTTGAACACTTTAAATGTAAAGTTTATCATCTTTGCTTCTATCCACGAGAAGGCGCCCATAAAGATAGGCAAATCAAAACAGACTACTGAATGGTTAAAACAAGACTGCAGCCCCAAAATTGGCAAAAGAACTCGCCATACAATGAAAATTAACAACCAAAATTTCGTAAAACTTGACCCCCCTGCAAGTATACCACCACCTACCCCCTGGCCTAGGGAGAGGAGGGAGCCTGCCTGGGTCAGCCAGGTCTACCCTCCCCAATTCTTTAATCACTGCACTGCACCACTTGACAAAACATGGGAAACATGGTGACGAGAGGACAATATTGAAGAGGGAATGCCTCCTCCCAGGGTATTATCCTCCGTTCAGAAAGGACAGAAAAAGAACAACAGGTGGTGCACTGCTTAATGTGAAGGAGGACCTGAAAGCAACCACTAATGAGGAACTGAACAACATTGGTTCCTCAGAGTCTGTAAGGTGCAATATACTAGATCAAGATGGTAACATACTGACTGTGGGAGTATGCTACAGGGCTGACACAGCAACAGCAGAAGAAGTTACTGATCTGCATAATGTGATCAATGCTGTGTCACAAACCCAAACTCTCATAATGGGCGATTTTAACTAGGAGACAATAGAATGGGTAAATCAAACATTGCAAGCAGGAGACCAATTTCTTGGTCTGATGCAGGATTCATTTCTCATACAACATGTGATTGAGCCCACTCAAGGTTACAGCAAGGATGTTACCTTGTGGTAACATCAGAAGAGGGCATGACTGATCAAATTCAAGTAGGGGGGAAAAGCTCACTCCATCGTGTGATCACAATATTCTAAGATGAAATACAATAACAGAAACTCTCGTAAAGGTCCAGGATGATGACCTAGATTTCCATCGAGGAAGCTATCAGAGAATGAGAGAGGAATTGCAAAACACCTCATGGAGGGAACTGATAAGTGATCATGGCATAGGAACATTTTGGGAAAATTTAAAAAAAATCATTACTGAACTCGTTCAAAGATATGTGCCAGAAAAGAGACAGAAAAGAAAGGAGGAGAAGATGGATGACATGAGTAGTAAAAAGAGAGCTAATAATGGAACAGAACCTCTGGAGATTGTATAAATCCACGATGAACATCATGGATTATAAGATATATAAAACCAGTGTTGAATGTAATGAAACGCCATTATCTGGGTGTGACCCAGAGGCTCCCCAGAGCTATACCAGGCTGATATGCTAATGTCAGACTTTGGCATCAGTCGTGTGTATGGAGTTCTTAGGGCCTACCGGGGACCATGGCCAGAACCTGGCCCCCCTCAGAGAGGTGAGGAGAGCATTGGCCTATAGAAACTACCGTGTGGTTGGAAGCATTCTATGTCTGCCATCGACCGGGTCAAACATCCAGAAAAGTAAGCATCCCAAAACAAACCCCTATTCTGATGAAAAGTGCTACCAAAAGCCGAACTAGTGGATAGAACTCCTCAACAGAAAACAAGCAAACAAGTATGATGTCACACGTCACCGCGCCACTCACCCCCCCTACCTGGGAGGGGGAAGGGGGAGCCCCAGACCTCTCATGCAGGCTATCCACCCATCAGTTCTGAGGCTGGATGTCAAAACACACGAAAAACCGCCGACTGGAGGGAGGGAGGGCTGCTGGGGAACCTCTGGGTCACACCCAGAAAATGGCATTTCATTACATTCAACGCTGATTTTATTGGGGGGAGCCACGTCGGTTTCCTGGAGCTAACTACCCACAGAGGAAGATCAAAGGGACGGATCCGGGAGGCGAACACCGCACACCCCTCAACGGAAAGCGAGACAACTGGCTGCAACTGCCAACCCAAGGTAACACAGGCCCGAATGAGCACGGGAACGACACAAGACAACGAGCAGCCAGGGCCCCTGTATGACCACCAAAAAGCCCCGTGCCTGAAGTCAGCAAGGACACGCCACCAAGACGGCAGCAAGATCAATGAAACCACGAACGTCACGGGCAAAGAACACAGGCTGGCTAGCCGCAATAACACGGCGGACGACCCCATGACACCTCCCGGGAACAGGGAAGAACGGAACCGGATCAGCCCAAAGCGCACCCAGGACACAGAAGCCGCAGCGCGCAAATAACAGCGGATAGCCGCAACTGAACACAAAACATGACGCACCCCTGGCCCGACCAACCAAGCACCAACAAACTAAGGACCCCCCTGAAATGCAGCAGCCTCACCCCGTGCCAGAAAAGGAGGAGATGGCTGCAACCGAACAAACCAAACGCCATGACCGAAAGAGAGCAAAAAGCTCCGTGACCTTAGCCCTAGAGGCAAACACCAACAGGAAAAGAGCCGTCAAAACAAACCCAAACCGAAGGGGCCACCACCAATCGAGGAGAAGAAAGAGCACGCTGTCCAGAGACCAGGACGCCCCAAGTGGCGCAAGAACAGGCCGGAGGTGAAACAATGCACGAGACAGCTGACAAATGACGCAGATGTAACACCAAGTCCGAAAGCAAGCCAGCGCCGCACAAAACGAGGTGACAGTATGCGGCAAGTCAACGGCCCCCAACCCTCACCAGAAAAGCCAAGCCGATGCCAACAAAAGCAGCCACCTAAGAAGGGACAGAAGGAAAAGGAAGGACCGCCAAAATACCCCATACTGCCGGCAAGAAAAGCACGCAGGTGGGACACCCGACCACCTACCAAAGGTGAGAGACTTGAGTCAGAACCCAACCAGCCCCGTCAAGGTTCATCCAAGCCTAGGAAGAGTCAGAGCCGCGGGAAGATCTCGGGCGTGACCACCGAGGAGGTAGAGCCGGAAACCCAAGCCGACAAAGATGGAGATGGAATGTCAAACGGAAAACCCCCAACACGAGCGAGCTAGCCAGGAGATCGGAAACTACAGGCCCGAAGCAAGACCCCGAAAAAACCCACAGGCAGGGCAAGACAGGAAAACAGGAACCCAAACCTGGGAACAGGAAAGCCAAAAGGCCCAAACAAAACACAACAGCGAGGAGGAGATGCACGAGGAAGGGAAGTGGTGGAAGCGGACCCCACACACAGCTGCAAGTGCAGACCTAACAGAACCCAGGAGATGTCAGGGAAGCAACAGGGAAGAGGCAGGATGAAAGAGCCAAAGCGCAACCCCAGGCACAAAACTACAGCAAAATGTCACCCCACAACATCCCGACACAGTAACAAGTACCACATGTCACCGTGGCACACATTACCAATGCACACGCGCACCAGCAACATGCACCACACGCAACAGGCAATATGCAACATACAACCAGAAGTAATGTCTCGCGGAAAAGGCAGAGAATGGCGGAGTCTGACTCCAGACAGGGTCAAACGTAAATACGAGAGAGCCCAGCAGGTCCGGGAATCCGCACACTAAGTTACCGACAATGGAGAGGCGAGACCAGGAGCCAAAGCTCAACCCCAACAAGCACAGCTAGGGAAGAACAGAGAATCCAATGTTCCATCAATGTTTGTATCTCACCTTGTAAGTATATGTACATTACCTGAATAAACATCTGAACTTCAATTTGAATGTACAGTGGTACCTGTACCTCGGAATACGAGTAATTACTTAAGTGTAGTTACAGGATGAGAGCTACGCTCGTGGTGTCCCGTCTTCCCAGCACTCTTTGTCATATAACGCTTTGAAACTACTGACGGTCTTGGCCTCCACCACCTTCTCACCTAACTTGTTCCAATCGTCTACCACTCTGTTTGTGAAAGTTAATTTTCTTATATTTCTTCGGCATCTGTGTTTAGCTAGTTTATATCTATGACCTCTTGTTCTTAAAGTTCCAGGTATCAGGAAATCTTCCCTATCGATTTTATCAATTCCTGTTACTATTTTATATGTAGTGATCATATCACCTCTTTTTCTTCTGTCTTCCAGTTTTGGCATATTTAATACCTCTAACCTCTCTTCGTAGCTCTTGCCCTTCAGTTCTGGGAGCCACTTAGTAGCATGTCTTTGCACCTTTTCCAGTTTGTTGATGTGCTTCTTAAGATATGGGCACCACACAACTGCTGCATATTCTAGCTTTGGCCTAACAAAAGTCGTAAACAATTTCTTTAGTACAGTGGTACCTCGGAATGCAAGTGTCCCTGTATGCGATTTTTCGGAAGACGAGCAGGATTTACTCCAAAAATATGTCTCGGAAGGCGAGGGTTACCTCGGGACGCGAGTTTGTTGATACGTGTACAGGCCGACTGGCGCGTGGTGGCATGGCGATCGCGCCTCAGTTTACCAGTGTCTCGTGTCCAGTGACTATCCCACCTGAATTCTTCACAAGGATTTACAGTTTTTTATCGTTTTTTTTGGCCATTTGAGCATAAAAGTTGTCATTATATATCTTGCCATGGGTCTCAAGAAAGCCATTGGTAAGGTTCAACCTAAGAAAATAGCTGTGAGTAGAGGCAGTAGAGGATGTCCCTTCTTGATTAAGAAAATGTGTGAAGTATGGGAAGAACTGCAAAGTTTTGTTGAAAAAACTCACCCAGATAAAGCTGTAGCAGGCCGTTGCATTGACCTTTTAAATGACAATGTGATGTCTTACTACAGACAAGTGTTAAAATGTAGGGAAAAACAAGTGTCATTAGACAAATTCTTAGTAAAACAAGC